TCTCTCTTTCTCTTTCCATCTCTCTTTCTCTTTTACATACATACACACACTCAAATATTATTGACTCTTTTCTCTCTCCCCCTAAAAGCTGTCAAACAACCTTCTCTCTCTCTCTCTCTCTCTCTCTCTCTCTCTCTCTCCCCCAATCTCCACGTCTCCCTGCAATCGCCATGAATGATCCCCCGCTGGTTCGGCGGTATAAAAACTCACCATCACACGAGAAGGAATAGAAATCAGACACACAGCCGAACGCGCCGTTCGACTGCAAGGGGAATGCTGAATGCACTTGTTGAGGAAAAATGTTGGATGAAAAAGATAGGAAATAGGAGAGGGAAGCTGGTTGGTGAAGGGAGTAGTACGTGCAACGTTCGTGTATATGATGTGCACGGCTTCTGTTTTTGCACTTCGTCCGTTTATATTATATGTGTATAGATCTATATAAATGCGTAACATTGGGGGAGGGAAAAGAGGCCGAGGAATGAGAGATGGCGAAAGTTGGGGGTAATTAGGAAAAGTAACATCATACGCATTGGTTTGTGGATCTCTTTCTCTCTCTCTCTCTCGCTCTCTCTCGCTCTCTCTCCCTCTCTCTCTCTCTCTCTCTCTTGTTCTTTCTTTCTCTCATTCTTTCTTTCTCCATCCACCCCCTCTTTCGCTTCTCTTCCTCTCTATTCTCTCTTCTCTTATTTGAATTTCCCACTGCTCCAACTCACCATACCAATCTGTCCGTGTGTGTGTCTGTGTGTGTGTGTATGTGTGTGTGTGTCTGTTTATCGGTCTGTTTATCGGTCTGTTTGTCTGTTTGTTCGTCTGTCTGTTTGTCTGTCTATCTGCCTCTACGACTGTCTATCTTTGTATATATTTATCTCCATTACAAACACACACACACACACACACACACACACACACACACATATATTCACACTCACACTATCACACTTACAAGAACTCTTAATGAAAAACCTTAGGCTTCAAGCTCCTTCTGCCCCCTCCTAGGACCTATTCTACTATTTTCCCTCTCTCTCTCTCTCTCTCTCTCTCTCTCTCTCTCTCTCTCTCTCTCTCTCTCT